CAGGGAGCACCTCCATTCCCTTGTTCAGGCCAGGAGACCCTGGAATCAGAGACTGGAGACCCTATGCCCCTCTGCTGGAATTGAGAGACTCCACAATGTGGGGAGGGGGATAGAGGAGCTACAGCTCCTGCAGAGCCACACTGAGAGTCCGCTCCATGCCCCCAGCCTTGTGGAAGTGAAGCCTCAGGTGGCCACAACCCCCTGTTGCACCCCCTGGCTGGAGACCACACTGGTGCATGGAGCAGCAGAGATGTTGAAGTGTTCCAGCCAGGAGAGACAATGGGGATGAGGGGGTGGGGGGGTGTCTATCTGTCAGTCCATGGCTGAAACACTCCGTTTTTGTTAAACTTTTCAAACCTTGTTATACAGTAATGTGAAAGGTTTCAAACATTGCATCTGTCCACCCTCTCAGAAGTGGAAGCTAGTGGGGCATCTCGCATCAACAGCATGGAGCTTAAACAGCCTGGTCCCATTCCCCTAAGCAGAGATTGAACTCACGTGAAGTTGTTAACAACCATGTTCACTGCATCAACTAGGTCTTGGGCTTTCATCGTGTTAAAATCCAGCTCAACTGCCATCCCCTTGGCCCTCATGTGAGCAATGTTGTCAGGCTGGTCAGCAAATATGGGAATGCCAACCATGGGCACCCCATGGTAAATAGCTTCATAGATCCCATTGGTTCCACCGTGAGTGATGAAGGCTTTTGTCTTGGCATGGCCTGGAAGGACAGAAGTTTGGAGGAACAATTATGGCAGGAAGACTCAGACTCCAGAAAGCGAAGTAACTATTTGTTGCTAACTGGGAAAGGACTGTTTGAAGAGGGAATAGTTCTGACAGCTCTCAAACAGCAGTTCAGATGAACAATGGCTCTCTTCCCAGCATTTGTGTTTGCATGGCTGTACAGCAGTAATCAAGCCCGAGTCACCTCTCTACTTCTCCAGTTTAGCCCAGTGAAACTCCAGCCTCAGTGTTATGTGGGGTGCTCTCCTTTGCATTTGCTCTAGTTTTTCTCTCTCTCAGTATTCTGTTCCATGAAACCTCTCCCTACTCTCACACATGCAATCAAACACTGAGTAGCACGGTACCAGGGGTAAACCAATGCTTCTACTCCCTGGTTTTGCACGGTGCTCCTTCAGGACACAAAGCTGAGGACAAGCGTGGCCATTCTCATGACTGGGAACCCAAAGCTAATACCTTTGGTTCACTCTTGCACTCACTTGCTTCTTGCTGGCACCAGGTGAAGGGCACCCCCATTGATCTGCACTGATCTCAGCACCAGGCAGCCTGGCTATATTCTCCATTGTGCTTGTATGACCAATCCCACTGGGGCCGCCAGGCACTTCTGGATTTGTACAGCTAGAGCAAGGATTCTAAACCAAGGTGCCACGGCATCCTGTTAGGTGTGCAAACTGTTAAGTGTGCAAACTGTTAGGTGTGCACACATGATTCCCAAGATAAACCCAGAGATTCCAAATAGAAATCCATAGGTGTGATCTTTCTGAGTTCTTAGTGACAGACAAAACTGCTCTATTACTGCTCTGTAGTCCTGTTAGGCCAGATGACTAAATTCCCCACTGATATCTAACACCTACTAATAGGGCATGGCCACAGTCAGGTTCCAATTTATGGATAAAGTTCCAGAAATGGGTGACCCCCATATGAGTGTCCTGCCTCCTCTCATGTTCCTGGTGGCACATGGAGGGCATGCCTGTGTGGAAAATAAAAGCTGTCTGTTTCCAAGGGGTGCCTCAAATCTATCCAGGGGGCACCTTGAGTATAAAAAGGTTGAGAGCCACTGAACTAAAGAAATACATTTTTCATACTGAAAGGACTAAGCCCTGCTGTTGGAAGCTGTTAGAGACAAATCACTCTGATGAACCAGTTACTAGAAAGAGAAAGGTCCCTAGAGTACATTACCTGGGCAGTCTGACTTTGCCATCATGAAATGTGATCAATTTTGCATCAGTGTTTTTCTCTAAATAACTAAGCATTCCATATCTTGGACACAATGGTGACTTCTGGGTTACTTCATGTGAAAGTGAGGACACATTAAGTGCATGATTTGTTTGTATGATGCACAGTCTAATCTTTTTTGCTGCAAATGGAAACAGTATGGGAGGGAGCCTATGAAAGCTCTGACACAATCAAACTCTCACCAAGCAGATCATTTTGGGGTATCCAGTCATAAATTCTAGTGTTGGTTCCTAAAGTTTCTGGTTTCTTTCCCTTGTACCTCCAAAGAACCTAGAACAAAAATATGTAAAGATAAAGGTATTGTAGTTCCACTTGCAATAAATGTGATTTGGGGCCTGAGCCAAAGCCCAGCAGACTCTGAAAGTGTCATTCCTATGACTTCAAAACAATTTGGGATCAGGTTCTTGTTTTTTCAGGTGTCTTTGAGCTGTCTCAGTGATCAACACATCTCCTTTACAAGATGCTCCTCAGTGTTGGATGGGAAAGTACCTGCCAGTGCTTCTGTTGAAAAAAGTGAAAGAATGCTAGACTTTCTTCTCAGTGGTCACTGAGGGCTCAAACTTTCTTCCTTGGAAATCCTTTTCAGTTGGATTTCAGTGGAATATGTCCACTCTCAAACTGGGCCACATAATATTACCTGCTAGGCAATGAAGTTTGAAAACTGGGGGCTCGGGCCTGTAGGGATTCTCTAGCAATGCTCCTGGTCCCATCTAAAACTGACCTTCTGCGGAAGCTGGCTGAGGGCTGTAGCAATCATGTTATTTTTCTCATCAGTCAGGTTGTGAATCATTGAGCCCAGAGAAAACACCACGATGCCATGTTCCCCTGAACTCTGGACAAATTCTTCCATTTCCTGTAAAGAGTTTTAAAAAAAGCCTTTTTATTTATTTTGTAAAGAAGCAGCACCCTATAGTGCTATTGAAGCAGGGACAATATACTCAACATAAATATACCATGCAACCTGAGTAGTTTGATGTATAGCTAACACTTGATCTACTTAGATTATTGAAGGGAGGCAAGAAAATAAATTTGATCATTGTGTGTGGGCGCGTCTACACAAGATGCTAAAAGCGCAGTAGACTAATTCTACTGTGCATTAGCACATAACAGTGAAAGCCATGATAATGTGCTAATGCGCAGTAAAATTAGTCTACTGTGCATTACTGTCACCTAAAAGACGCACACCAGCGCTACTGTGCAGTATTGCCAATTACAGCGCATGAAGTTAGTACCTGTTATTACAAGTAAACTTGTAGTAAAGTAATAAACTTGTAAAGTTTATTACAAGTAAACTTGTAGTAAACTTAAGACACATGTAGATGTACCCTACAAGTACTTACATGGGAAAAAGGTTTCTGATAGGGAGCTCCTATTCTAGCTCAGTGATTCTCAATCAACCAAGGCAGCCTGGGGTGCCTTGAGATCCTTTTACGTATCCCACCGAGTGCCACACAATAGGTTTCCACACAAGATAAACCCGAAGATCCTGACCTGTTGTGGTCTTTCCAAGTTATTTACAATACAAGAATTGCTCTATTATTTTTCTGTAGTTCAAAAAGGAGTGAAAACTAAAGCTGGCCTTTTCCAAGAGGTGTTTTGAGATTATTGGGAGGTACCTTGAGACTATTAAGGACTGCCTTGAGTCTATCGAGGGGTGCCTTGATTCTAGAAAGGTTGAGAACCATTGCTCTGATAGTCATAATAGAATCTAATGTCTGGATTTAAAAATAAAAGATTCTGTAGGTGGCCGATTTGAAAAGCACCTTAAAATCTTCACTTGTTACTAATAGATGTCTAGAGCTGCACTAGATTATAAGAAATGAATGAACTCTCTCATTCCTTTCTGGTACAAGGTGGAATTTGTGTTAGGAAAGGTTCAGAACAGCAGCGCTGTCTCTCCAAATAATGCCACCCATCAGGATAATGCGCCTAAAGGCTTGAAAAGCAGACCTGAAATTAAAGAACAAGCAGGATAGATCCTCCATTGATCTATACATCAGTGTGGTTCCACCCATTTCACAAGGCACAAACCTTTGCCTTTCACTGCTCCAGGAGAAGTTACTTAAGACACAGCTGAAAGCAAGACTTGCAGCATCTTCTCTGACTCAGCAGCATCCTCTGTGACTCCCCAAAGCTGCTGCTTTATCAACGTTAATCATTCATTTCCGTATTCCCAGTAGTGGGGCACATGTCACATCAATTAGAGTGAACAGATCTGTTTGGAAGCACAGACCATGGCTTCTCCCTACATCTACCATCTGAAATACAGGAACCCTGGCCAGGTGCCTAAATTCGCCACTGAGATCTAACATCTACTAACAGGGCATGGCCACAGTCAGGTTCAGATTTATGGATAAAGTTCCAGAAATGGGTGACCTCAAATGAGAGTGTCCTGCCTTCTCTCATGTTCCTGGTCGCACATAGAGGGCATGCTTGTGTGGTGCCATGTTCAGGTTCATTTATTGATTTATTTGATTTCTAGGTGTAGAGTGGCTTTCAATAAAGTACCAAAGTAAAGTATATACTTATACAGTATTGAGCATGTTGAGCATGTTGGGTCTGGACTGTTTAGGACTTAATAGGTGAAGACCAACACTTTGAACTGAACCCAGAAGATCACTGGAAGCCAGTGCAGGCTCTGGAGCACTGGAGAAATGTGCTCCCAGTAATCCATCCCTGTCACAAGGTGGGTCACCACGTTCTGCACCAGCTGCAGCTACCAGTTGGTCTCCAAGGGTAACTCCACAAAGAGCACATGGCAGTAGTCTAGCCTTGAACTTCCAAGAGCATGAAGGATGGTGAACAGATCCATATTTTATAGAAAGGCTGCAGCCTTCTCACCAGGTAGATTTGGTGAAAGGTGCTCCTAGCCCCTGCTGTGATGTGAGAATCCAGGTGCAGCAGAGGACCCAGGAGCACTCCAAGGCTATGAACTTAAGTGACAAAAGGAGGTGGAACCCCATCAGTGATGGGTGTCCCAATCCCAGCAAGGCATGAGGTCTGCCCACCACCATGATCTTTGTCTTCTCTGGATTCAGCTTCAATTGCTTCACCCACATCCAATCCCCAACTGCAGCCAGGCACTAGATAAGGATCTAGACTGGAGGCTTGGGTCAGATGTGAGAAAGATTGGAGTTGGGTGTCATCAGCATACTAATGAAATCTTACTCCAAATCTCTCATCCAATGGTCTGAGATACATTTTGAACAGGAGGGGCAACAAGATGGAACACTGGGTGACCTCTCAGAAAGGTCCCAAGGTTCAAGAAGTATGGCCCACAGATCCCATACACGTGACTATAGCCCTTCTGGCTATCCATGTGGCAGCCCAGGGGCACAGCAGCAGCATTGCCTAGGGGTATCCCATTGAAATCCAGCAGCAGCTACCTATATCCAAGGGCAAGACACCACCATTCCTCCATCACCTCACAGCAGCAATAAGGGCCACTCTATCGTAAGACTTGTCTCCTTAGATCTAAACGATACGTAAGCCTCTTGGCTGCATGAAGAAGGGTCTTCAATACAGCTGTGCGAAATTTCTCCAGGTGTTTCATTTTGAAGCTGTTTTGATGCATTTCAAGCTTGAAACGGTGAAATTGAACTGAAGCAAAAGCCTTCGAAACAGCTTGCAAATGAAAAAAGGGCACTCAAAACATTTCAAAAGTTTGAAACATTTCAAGTTTTGAAGTCGGGCTCACTTGGCTTCAGTGCTGGTCCCAGCCGGCAGCAGCAGGCTCCTGTCATCCAGCGCAGATCTGAGGGCTGCACCCCCTGGGAGGATTCTGGCACATCCCCCAGCCCTCTCAGGGGTGCAGGCCCCAGGATCTGTGTGCCAGATGACAGCATGCAGTTGCTGCTGACTGGGGCCAGCAGCAGCACCAATCTTCCCAGCGCCAGTCCCAGCTGGCAGCAGCAGCCTCCTGTGATCTGGCAAGCAGATCAGGGGCCTGCACTCCTGGGAGGAGTGTGGCAGAGCCCTTCTTGGGGTGCGGGTGGGCCTCCAATCTGCCTGCCAGATGACAGGAGGCTGCTGGCAAATGACAGGAGTTTTGCTTGTCAACACCTTGAGGTGCAGTTTCCCAGAAACCTCTGCACCTATCTCCTTGAAACTTGGCAGGCTCCATGCCCTCAGAAGGGGCTACCATTTCTGCAAGTTTCATCTGAATCAGGCAAGAAATGACAAAGTTACAGGTGGTTTTGTGCTTCTCCATTATAGCCTGTGTGAGAAACATCGAAAGCGTTGAAACGGCGAAACAGTTTCGAAGAAATGAAATGGAACAGTGTGTTTGAAATGAAACAAAATTCAAAATGAAACACTGTTCCATTGAAACACAGGTTGAAGCAGAATGGTGCTGTTTCGCACAGCCCTAGTCTTCAGCATGTCCCTGGGAATTTACAATCCCACCAAGTGAAGTCACTGCAGTGAAACTCAGTTGGTATACAATCTGCCACCTCCCTGGCTCCCTGTAGCTGGTTAATGGAAACAAGCCAGCTAGGGAAGGTTCACTGGACATATCCAAAGGCTTTGTAGCAAAGGTAAGCAATGCAAACACATAGCTTAGGAGTAGGCAACCTCCAGCACACATGCTAGAGCTTGGCACATGAAGCCATTTTGCTTGGCATGCGTACCTCCAGGTAAACAGCCTCAAGGCATGTGTGTACCTGCTGCTGACAAGGAGCAAGACCAGGGCTGCTTGCAGCCTCCCCGCAACCTGCTGCAAGCAGCCTAGGCTCCATGGTGGGTGGCAGGGGCCTGCCCAGAACCTGGGCCAGGTGTGGCAGGCAGTCGGGAGGCTGTAAGTAGCTGCACCAGGGTCCACAGGAAGTGGTGGGTGTACACACACCTCAGGGCGGAAGGTGGGGAAAAGACATCAGATCAGGCATCAAAAGACCCTCAAGACAGCAAGGTCACTAGCTCCTTTGGAGAATCTCAGCCTCCATTTTTACTATGCTGCTAATCTAATCTATCACACTTAGATTAGCAGCATAGGATGTGCTTTTCATAGGATAGTCCATCATTTAAATTGACACTGGCTGTTATTTGCTTTCTAAAGGCAGTTAAAGCTTGTGCATAACTAAAAACATGATTGGTGATAGCACTCTGGCTTCACATTTTCTTAAACTGAGCACCAGATTAACTAGCACTACGCTTTAACTATTGACTCCCTACCAAGCAGGTGAGTCATTGACTATAGGCCAGATCCTACAGTCTAAAGCATCATAGGTTGGGAGCTGGCCCTGTGTTTTCAATCAGCAATGGGGTATTTGACTTTGTAGTAATAAGTAGCACTAAAGTTCTCCTTTCCAAAACTTCCATTGTTCTCAGTGACCTGTCTTGGGGTACTGAGCCCACAGTCAAAGAGCACAGAAAGCAATAGTCACATTTTGGCTGGGCAGACAAACAGCATGATGATGGAGAGAATCAGGGTACCTCAGGTAATGGCTTCGCAGGCTGGCAGTGGAGTCCCCCAACAAACTCAAAGTTGGGCAGGTATGGGCGAGGAAATTCAAAGTCCCAGTATGTTCGGATCAACCACATCTCTGCTTTCCCCATTGTTTCACACAGTGTGGTGGGCCTTCCTGCAGGCAAAAGAGAAGCCCATATTAGCAATTGTCTTATTCTTTCTGGAGTAGAGGCTACAAGCCCTGAATTTAAGATCTGGAAATTCTGGCCACTGTTATGAAGCAGTGAAGTTTAGCATTTTAGGCTTAGGGGATCTATTCTTCTACCAGCTTCTGTGTGACTTCTGATGGCTAGAAAATGGTATTTAGAGGTTTGCTTTTAGGAATTGGTTTGTAGGTAGGTAGATACTATGTTAGAACAATGGTCCAGGGGGACAGCAAGGGTTGTAGCAAGAAACTGTTTTTTGCCTGCCCCACTCCCTCCAATGTGAAGCCCCTCCATATGGCAAAAAGCCCCTTTTGCAGTATTTGCCCCCTTTTGGGTATTCTTTCTCTTTTATACCTTTTCTTCCTTCCTCCCTCTTCTTCTATTATATTATTATTATTTTTATATCATATAAGGTGTACTTGTAATAAAAATATAGTTTGTAGATGCTCTTCTGCATCAGTATGTTATCCCCTCTCCACCCTCCCTTGTATTTGGTCTATTTGTTGTATGTGCCATGGCATTTCACCCTTTTATGTTTTATATTCTGTGCTTTTTAACTTTGTAACAAATGTACTTCAAGTTTAAAAGTAAGTTGTACTATGTAACAGTGTTAGCAAGGGCAGGAATCAAACCACAGCTTCTTTGTATGGAGTGGGTCCCTGAATGAATCTTGATTGATTGCATAACACAGTAACTAGCTAGGATATTAAGTGAATGAGCGGCAATTAACACCTACAAAACCACAAAGAAGGAGAGGAAAAGATCAATACAGAGCCAGGAACTCCCTGAAACTTCACTGTTAAAGGTACAGAAGCCCCGGTTTGAACTAATCACAGCAGTGAATTAATCAAATTTCATCAACGGACTTCCAAGACTGCATGTACCTGTGGACGTGACCCCTGGGGCTGACAGCTGCCATCCAGCAACCACCAAGGGGGATGTCCAACGAGGTCAACAGCCCCTGGATTGAGTAAGCCCGAAAATTGGGGAGTCACCAAAGTCTGCCAGAGAGGGATAAAAGGCAGCAAAGAATGACCCCCAATGGTGCCCTCTCTGACCTGACCAGCACCCTGCCTTCCCAGGCAGAACCAGCTGGCGACCCCCTTCTGAAGCCACATGGCACTGAAAGAAGCCTCGACTGGCTGATAAGCACCCCTTGTTTCAGGGGCACCTGGCTAAACCCCTAGGGACAGAGGTAGGGCTGGAAGCCATGTCCAGCAGAGATCCCTTGAACTCTTACTATGCATTTTCTACTTCAGGAACAGCTTTGTGTTCTGAAAAAAGTATTTTATCTAACCAAGGGCATACAGTAGGTTGTTTAGGCTGGGGGAGATCGCTTGTTGCTTAGTTGTTTATAATTGCTGGCCTCGCTAGAGGAAAAGCTGTATCAACAAAGTTCTGGAGCTGGAAGGGGGGTTACTTGCTGGGCTTGCTACACATTTCATCACATCAGC